TCCCATCACTGGATTTATTTTTCCGGACAAAGTCTCAAAAAGACCGAGGATTGTTTTTTAGCTTACACTCAGTTTGAGCTATGAACTATTTATAGCAACTTTTGTATTCATATTTATAGCGTGCCCAGAGATTAGAAAACTTGTTATAATCTCTGGGACAACGGGAAACTTTATATTTGGCATGCACCCGTTTTTTAGAAATAACTATAGATTTGAGGTCTTTGGAAAACCACAGTGAAAATTTAGAAGGACTATAACTGACCTCGGGAACAAAATTCAAAACACATAAATGCAGAGCATTAAAACTTCTTAAATCTGTGGATAACATAGAATGCCTTAAAGATCTACCATTTGATTAAAGGAAATTATTATCAACTCCTGCGTCGGGTCAAGTAAAAATTAGTTCTATAGCTAATGGAGAATATATTCATTTTGGTTTGGTTAAAGGGTTAAATCATTTATATAAAATTAATAACGAATTGGGACAACTATCTATTTTTGAACTATGGTTTGACATTGATGGTTTACCTATTGACAAACGAGGAAGTTCATTCTGGCCAATTTTATGTGGTGTTTTATCCTTTTCATACCGTAATAAAACTTCAGATAATATATGTTTTCTAAATGATACAGCTGAAAGAAGACCATATAAGTATTCCTGGTTAGGGACTTGTATCTTGTATTCCTTTGGATTACATGCACTTATGTTGCCTAGATATAATGAAAAAAAATATTAAGATTCTTTATCAGAGGCACCCGTAGTGGTTCTTGTGGTTCAACTCGTTTATCTTATGATCAAATTATATCTGTAAATAGTAGAATAAAAACTATTTAAAAATGGTTGAGTACAGATTTTGCACGCTATCCAACTGATATAAATAATTATAATACATTTAAAGCTACAGAGCTACGACAAATTTTAATATATACTGGCCCTTTTATCTTTCAAAATATTGTAACCATTCCTGTTTATAATAATTTTATGACTTTACATATAGCCATGCGTATCTTAGGATGTCCTAAGACAGTATTTTCACAAAATGATTTTGTGAAAGCTCTAACAAAACATTTTTAAAAACATTCTGTATTATTTATGGGCGAATAAATGTTTCCTACAATATTCATTCAATTATACATCTACCAGACGATGCTAAAAAATATGGTGTTTTGGATTCATTTTCATCATTTCCTTATGAAAACTATTTGCAGCATTTAAAAAGAATTGTTTGACCTGGGCGTGCACCTTTAGTACAATTGTACAATCGCATAAACGAAGAGTATAAAAATTGTACTTCAAATTCTCAACACTATATTAACTACCCTTTTATGGATGGATATCATTGTGAAGAAGCTTTACCCAATAGTATATTTAATGAGTCCGTTGTACAGTACTCTACTATCATAACTGAAAATTATACCATAAGAATTTCAAATAAGAAACGTAGAAGCACAAAAAAGGATAATTGTGTTATAATTTCTAGTAACATAGTATGCACTGTAAAAAATATTTTAAGCATAAATGGTGAAATATTCTTAGTTTGTTCAAGATTTGATGATTTAGTACCTTTATACGACCAACCATGCTCTTCAATATCAGTTGGTTCCATGGAATGCAAAAATATATCCTCAGATTTAAAATTGTATCATTTAAGTGATGTGAAGTATAAAGCATGCTATTTCCCTTCATCTGAAGACATTTTAGAGACATATTTTTTTGTCTGTGTTTGCTTCATGTGTCCAGTTAACTGTGTAATATTTTAATAATTATATTTACGCAGTCAATTAATATATTTTTTCCTTTTAGAATGAATAATTTAAATAAGTTTTATGCCATTCCGGCCTTGAGCAATGGTAATGTTATGACTATATCATGTATTTGATTAGTTCAAGAAAATTATTCACCCATAGTGCAAAATAAAGAATATGAATTATTATTTTTTCCATTACAGAAATCTGTTAAGCAAGCAGAAAAATATGCAGATGTTAAAAAAGATTGGGTAAAATCATGCTGCACGGTTCTCAATATTACAGGTAAAATTAAAACTTATCAATTTTTTAAAATATGTATATTAAATTACTTAGTTTACCTATAATATAAATGTGATTGTTGTTCAAAATGTAAATCAAACTCGAGATCAAACTAAATATTATTTCAATTTTAGATTCTAATTTAAGAGCCCAATATATGGCTACCACAGACAACTTGGGAAAATATACATTTGTTATCGTTGAGTTTTTGGAAGACCAATCAGCGGAAGTTGTTTTATGTAATTGGGTTTTGACTGATGATGTTACACAACAATTTAAATGTCAGTGGCCGGGAAGTAAAAATGCATTGAAATGATCTGTTAAAAAAAAAATCCTACAAATGTATGGTTAACACATTTCTGTATTCCACGAAAATTTTTTGGTAAGTTAATATTTCATTAATATAATTGTTTTAATTCAAAATAATATGAATATATAAGTATTCATAAATTATCCATTTTTATTTATATCATTTAGATTGTAACGTGGTCGGGGAAGACCAGTTAAATAAAAGATATTCAGGGAGGAGTTGTGTATCCTTTGAATATATTTATCCGTAGCTCGGGAGCAGGAATGTTGGGATCTTATAGTTACAAATGAATACAGATTGATTTAAACTGTTATTAAAATATAATTTAATTACATTTAATTTACTTACAACTAATTTATTGGCAGCCCGGAGTTCCTATTCACGTGACGGTGTCTCGAAGAACGGAGAACTGCCGTACCCTTGCATAATATTCGCATTTGGCCGTAGCCTTACAATGGTATCATAGCAGGAGGGGCTCAATATATCTAGTCAGCATATTCTATATATTATGCTTATAAGGTATATAATAATATATTTGTACATGTATATTGTATATATGTAGGCTATACGTATATAGGACATGGGTGACAAAGTATAAGTGACGATGTCACCATCGTTACAAGATGATTACAAAGAAGCAAAAATGAAACTGCCTATTTTTGTATAACCAATTCAACAGAAACAGAAGATGTTAACGTACAACGCGAAAGAAAACATAAGAAGCAGCACTTTGATGAATCCTTTGAAAATGAAGAAAATATTACAGCTGTAGTTCATAAGAAAAAAAACATGCATTTTTCAGATAATCTAATAAATTATTCTTATGAAAGTGACAATCAAAGTCAATCTATGTTTTCAATGCTTATAGATAATGTTCCGGCTCCATCAAGTTATTTATTTTTTAATATTAATATGATGTTTTGGTTTTATGTATAAGTAATATATAATATTTATTCATTAATTTTTAGGTAAATTTAACATAGGTAATTGATTCATGTGTGATGTGTAAATGAAATTCATAACGACACATTGTCTCCAGTTAACTTCAAGTCCATTACATCAGTCATGTGAATTGGAAAATGTAGTTGAAGACAATGGAAACCAAAATTCACAAGCTTGTACAATATTTGAAATAATGAATGTTATACAAAATATTGGTCATGTTTTGATGAAAGGTAAGTTAAAATCATAATTAGTTCAATAAATCATTAATATTTATTTTGTTAATCTATTATGTAAATAATTATGTAATATATATTATTTAACCATGTAAAATGTATTATTTTGTAAATATTTTTTTTATAGTTTCAAATCAAATATCTGCTATTCAAAAAGTTATAGGAATTATGAAGGTTGATTCAATTAAAAACCAAGAACTGTTGACAAATCTTAATGACAACTCGCGTCTACAAAACATTTCAAATATATCAGAAAATGTTATTGATTACTCTAATTTGAAGATTCCCGTGATGACAATTGATGAGTTAAATGCTCTTGAACCAAATTCTGAGCTAAAACGAATCTTAGTAAGTTTAATGATGTACAGCAGGGATGGCAAATAGATGGCACGCGTGAGATTTTCGATGGCACTCGAAAAACTTTCATTTGTCCATATTTATGTATATTAATAATATATATTTCACAACGAGGTATTGTTATCTTATCTTTTTTTTATTTAATAGTATTTAGTACAGAACTACGACGGCTCAGATATCTTATCTTTATTATTATAAAATATAATTTATATGTTGTAATATAGTGGAACACTAGATTACTAGAAGTGTGTGGACAAGTTAATATTACTCGTATATAGGTAATCAGTTCTCGTTCGTGTATTGAGAGAATACATCGTGTGCGAATTTTACGTTATTATATTAATTTTTATTTAAAATGTCACATGCAAAAAAACAAAAATTACAGGATGTTCGAAATTGTATACCATCATGGACAATTGAATATGGTTTTNATATGATTTTATTAAATATGGAGATAAAAGTCGATGCGGTCTGTGCTCTGAAATTATTGTATCTCGGACATCTTCTATCAAACGACATTTTGAAACAAACCACAAAGAAATTTCAGAGTTAAATATTACTGAAAGGAAAGAAGTTATTTCTCAACGCTTGAAGGTAATTGAAAACCAATCTAATTTGTTTGGTAAATTCGTAAAAACTTCTAATAATGTCACTGAAGCAAGTTTTGAAATTTCTCATTTAATTGCCAAACACTCAAAACCATTTTGTGAGGGCGAGTTTTTAAAAACGGTCATGTTAAAAGCTGCTCCTAGTTTATTCCAAGATTTTAATAATAAAGATAAGATACTTCAGAGAATTCAAGAATTACAACTAAGTAGAAATACTATTAAAGAAAGAATTTTAAAAATGACCGTCAATATTTCTGATCAACTTCAGTCTGATATTAATAGTTGTGATTTCTTCTCGATTTGTTTGGACGAAACAACAGATATAAAGTCATCTGCTAGATTAGCAATTTTTGCACGTTTTTCAAATGTGAATGAAATGCGTGAGGAACTTTTAAAATTAGCTAATATACCAGAAAGAACAAGAGGTACAGATGTTTGTGATATTGTGTCGATGAATTAAAAAAACTCAACATAAATTTAAAAAAAATTATTTCTGTTACGACGGATGGAGCACCCAATATGACTGGAGCATCAATAGGTTTTGTTAAGTTATTTGAAAAGCATGTTGGACATCCAATAATTGGATTTCACTGCATCATACACCAGCAAATGTTGTGTTCCAAAGTCGGCACAAGTGATTTAAAAGAATTGTCAGAACAAGTTAATAAAATTATTAATTTTATAGTTGCTCGTGATATGCATAAAAGACAATTTAAAAAAATTTTAAATGATGTTAACTGTGAATATGATACTCTTTTATTGTGCAATAATGTACGCTGGCTAAGCCGGGCTACATCATTAGAACGATTTGTAAATTGTTTGGACGAAATTCGCCTATTTTTACATGATAATAAGACTGAATTTAAAGAACTTTATAATACAGAGTGGCTTGTAAAATTGATGTTTTTCACAGATCTAACATTACATTTGAACACTTTGAATAAAAAGTTACAAGGACGCGGTAAAACAATTGAAGTCATGTTTGGATTAATAAAAGGTTTTGAAATGAAAATAGATATGTTTATTAACGATGTCAAATCTGGAAAATTTCTATACTTTCCAAAAGTGAAAAAAATGTTAGGTGAAGTGGACATTTTTGAACAAAGCAATTGGGATTTTACCAATGAATTTTCAAATATTGTTGGTTTGATTAAAATACAGTTTTCACAAAGGTTTCATGATTTTAAGAAAATTGAAAAATTAATAAAAATTATTAATTATCCCGATTTATTCGATGTGCAAGATTTTAATGAATACTATCTTAATTGGATGGAATTAGAAAATTTAGAAATGCAGTTAATCGATTTGCAAACTAATCCAATTTGGACAAATAAATTTGTGAATATGCGAAAGCGTATCGAAGAATTGGAACGTCATCGAATACACAACGAAGAAACAGATTGCGGCGTTGACAACATAATATTAGAAGTATGGAATAATATTCCAGAAAATTTTTCTTCTGTCAAAAAATTAGCAATTTCATTGTTAACAATTTTTTCTTCAACATATGCTTGCTAAAGTCTTTTTTCTGTATTAAATCATACACATTCAAAGGCTAGGAACAGATTAACGGAGGAAGATTCGGCAGCATGTATTACCTTGCAATCAACATCATATCAACCAGATATAAAAAACCTTTCAACCAATATGAAGCAAAAGATTTCTAACAAACAATAATAATTTAATATTTTTTTCACATTATTTTCATTTTTACATAATTTTCTACATTATAATCATAAATTTTTCATTTATATTTTGTATTTGTATTTTGCTGTGCTAATAAAAATAATTATGGCACGGCTGAAAATTTTTTTTGAATTATGTTATAAATTGGCACGTAGAAAAAAACCTATTTGCCATCCCTGATGTACAGGATTATTTTTCAAACATGCTCCCTCCCATTTTTTCCTTTAATTGTGATTTTATTAAAATTCTTCATATTTGTTATACTATTTAAGAAGTGTTGTGACAGCACAAACTTATATTTTTCAAATGAAAACACCTTTTTTTTCAAAATGTTAGTAGTATTTATTTGTATATTCACAGTTAGTTTTTCCACGGTAATTTTTTTTTGTTCAAGTGGGAATGTTTCCCTTAAACGACTCAGAATTACCGTACCACACAATACGGTGATTTGACACTCAGTGTCCACCTATTTACGGCTCACACGAAAAAATTTACCGTGTACACAAAACTATATTTTTCTATTCACGTTGGTTACACTGTTTTTTTGAATTTGATAAGCAACTTATTAATTACGAAATAATATGTTTTTTTATATCTGAATTTTTTTAAGTTACTCGTTTATTTTTATTATTCAGTAATTAATGATTTGTTGTTTAGAGAAGTTGTGTTTTCTTACATTGCAGATACAACCCAAACTGTATTTATGTATTATCACTGCTGGGCAAGATACCTAAAAAAATGTATCTAAATACAAGATACAAGATACATTTATAACTAGTATCTAAATACAAGATACAAGATACTATAATATTTTTTAAAGATACTAGATACAAGATACATGTATCTGAGATACCCATAAGATACAAGATACTTAATATATTTATTTATTTTTATTAATTTCTTAATTTACCTTGGATTATCATATATAATTTATATAGTATTATAGCTTATATGTGTATAATAATACGGTATGCATTGATCATTAACAATAAAATTTCAAATAACATTAGATACGCTTAAAATAATAATACTAATAATAGACAAAAAGATTTACAGTCTATAAAAAAAATTACGTATACAATAAGAAAACGTTATAAAAAAAAATAAATATATTTATAAATTAGCAATGTTTACTTCTTATTTATTAAATGTTTAAAGTGTAGGTGATTCATATAAATATTTAATTATATTATTTATATCCCATGTTTTGAAATAAATTCCTGGTTACCTTTTAAAGAGACTAATTTTTTGAAAATATCATCTGACATACTAGATCTACATGGAGAATGAATAAGCCCAAGAAAAGAAAATAGTCGTTCAACAGCTGCTGAAGAGGTTAGGCTTGTATTATATTTTATAAATATTTTTTTTATTTTTGGATAATTATCTAAACAACTAAGTGATTTATTTTTATCATTTAAAAAACTTATAAATTCAAGCTCGTTACTTGATTGTTGTCTGAATTGGTATTTTTTTATCAAGATTAAAATCATATAATACTTTTCCATCCACTTCGTGTCAAAATAAATATACATTATCTGAATCTGGTTTCAGATATACAGGAGTAGGAGATATAGTTGAATGTTTTTTCTGTGGACCTGTTTTACAAAAATGGACAAATGATAACATACCGTGGGTTGAACATGCAAAATGGAATCCTTAATGTATATTTGTTTTACTATGTAAGGGAAATGAAAAAATGTAAAAAACGAATATGTAAAAGCAGGTCATGTTTGTGATTGTAATCAGTCTAAATCATATGATACCACTTGTTAGTTTACATGCATTAATCATATTTAAAAATTTTGTGCACGCATTACGAAATAAATATTGAATGTATAGACTTAAATGTGTTAGTATTTCATTTTATATCTTGTGAACTTGTTGTCTAGTGAAATAACTCATCATGTTTTAATTTAATATACTAGGTTTAAAATGTAGTTTACAAGCTCAACGGATCAGGTAAGTATATTAACCCCCCCCCCTCTTATTTCTGATTTCATTTGATTTCACGTTCACATTAGTTTTTTATACTAATTTTAATATAATCAGATTAATATAATATAACAGAACTTGATCAAGTTATAACCTCAGTTTTCAAATATGTGTTGTAACGATCATATTATAAACGTTAATGACATCCGTGATTCATGTTTTGTTAAGTTGTTATATTTATTTTTATACGTTTTAAGAAATACTCAGCAGAAATCGTCTATATCAAAAAGAACACGTCGCAATACTATATGATTCCAGTTGTTGTTTCAAAGTCAGTATTCGATATCAGACCTTTTAGCAAGAAAAGTGTAACAGTCGGATTGATGGTTAATAAAATGATTTCTGTTATTATAATACTACAATGTAATTTTACTAAAAAAAAGATAAGTCTGGATTTGCTACAGTGGTACACACTAATGTGTGATACCAATTATAGTTCAATAACTAATAATCTACATACTAAATTTATTGATGGGCGATCTGAATCGATCTTTTAAAAGATTGATCTTTTTCATGCGATTAATCGATTTTTTGGATCGATCTCCTGGACCCCGATATTTTAAAAGATCGATTCATTTTTGTGAAGATCGAATGTTATGTTTGGATAATAGAACTATAAAAGTGTGGCCACCACAATCTCCGTTAAGGTCCCCACACACTGCCGCGGTGGATCTGGCGGCAAAATAACGACGTAAGTTTCCCCAGCCCCCCACATATCAATTTTCCCAACATTGAGTACGTCATTTGTTTGTATTTGTTTGACCAAACTCAGAATTTGTTTGACATCGGATACCCCGGAAAATACGATTTTCAGTGCGGGGGACTGAGGAAACGTTTCCCCAGCCCCCCGCATAAGAAATAATGGACTTTCAGCGAATTTTCAGCGAATTCATGAACTGGAAACTATAAATACAAATGCAAATAAATCTATTTAATTGTTTCTTGACATTATGATATACATTATAGGTAATAGGTATTATTGCATAATATTATAATAAAATTGTATAATATACAATGATCTGTTACATAAAAATTAAGCTTTAAAAATTGTTTTCAATAGGTACTCCAAGTTCTCCAGATATACAGCTATTCCCGACAAGATTACCTTCAAATATATTATCTAACAGTTGTCAAAGCACTATCACTGCTGTAAAAAAAAAATTAAATTTCAATAAAACAAGTAAGTCTCCGAGTCCAATGTCTACACCTGATAAGACAACAAAAATAACTGGTAATAAATTATATTATACTTGTCTTAATAATACTACGTGTTGTTCTACCTGACTTATTATCTAAGCTACTACTTCTCGTTAGAATAGGTTTCTCTTTTTTAGTTTTTACTTTAGTTTTATCTGGACTGTCGAAATTTATTAACCTATGTGTAACGTTTAATATTTCTTTTTCAAGATTAGATTTATCTTTTTCTGTGTTATACGATGGATTATCTAATTCCAAAGGAGATGTATCTTTTTCTTTATTGTCCATAAAATGCCTTTAATATTCATTCAATACACCCTTCATTACTTCAATTAATAATTCTCAATATATGTATATATACCCTTTAATAATATTCAATAATAATTCTCGTAATAATCTCAATATACTTCAATAATAATTCTCAATAATAAACCTCATAATAATAATCTCAATAAATACTCTTTAATAATAATCTTATAATAACAATAACTCTCAATAGTTAAATCTTCAATAATAATAATCTCAATAGGCTTCAAAAATAATCTTCATAGTTTCAATAATAATCTCAATGACTTCAATAATAATCTCAATATAATAACTTCAATAACTTCAATAATAATCTTCAATAACTTCAATAATAACTTCAATGGGTTTTAATAATTGACTGAATGGGCTTTTATATATGTTCTACTCTAACACCTACACTACTATTTATACTTGATTACCTTAAATAAATTCCATACGCCTCTATTGTACATACGTCTATGTAACAATATTTAATAAATTATTCACTTACAATAAAGCGGTATTTGCTGATGACCATGTTCCTTTTGAAATTGCTGCACTAGTTTTGCTTGGAACCTTCCTTCGGAGTTGCTGATGAAGAAGAGTGATCAATTCCTCTTGTCAACGATGGACCTTTGATGGTTTTGCCTCCTTGAAAATCCTACCGACTGCGCCAGAAATGTTGTGTGCGTAATCTCAAAGGCTCCAAAAGCCGTAAGCTTTAGAGACAAATCAACAAGTACCAAATTGAACTATAGAATTATGTTTATTTAGCAGAAAATATAGTAATAGTATAATAACGTGTGCGCGTGTGACGATAAGTTGCTCAGGTCTCCGTGGCTATGATACATCTGCCCAGGCTGTCCCACGGGCTCCCTTATAAGTGATGGCGGTTCCTTTGATGTAGCGGCGCGTGCAACTTGTATGTGTGTGTGTTTCGGTTGTTGTTGCTAATTCTTAGATTAGCGATTAGCGATTCTTAGAATTGCGAATCGTGTCCACGATTTCTAGTCGTGTACCTGTCCAGTGTTTTATTACATGGATAGGTGTAGATAGTACATATTCATCATTATAATATTTAATTAATATTTAATCATTATAATATTTTAATTACATATACGGAGTTCAAGACCGTAATAACGTTAAGGTCAATATATTCTATATTAATTATAGCGAATAGGGTGCCTAGAGCGTCAAGGCCCGCAACAATTGAATGCATTTTTTTAGCTCGGTTAAATGAATGACCAAATGTGGTTTATCTTTAGCTATATTTAAAACATCCGAAAATGATGATACATTTAAGCCTTGGCCTTTAATTATATCATGAAACATGTCTCTGTGCAGTTTTAGTTTATCAATATTTAAATCATCCTTATAAAATTCGCAAATTAATTGTGGTGATATACTTGGATCAATAAAAAACATTTCAACATCACTCAAAAAAATTCGAACTTCAGAATTAAATCTTAGTTGTAAACCAGATAGTATATGGTCAATAATTTCTTTATATATTTGGTTATATTTACTTTCAGGTGTAAATAAAAAGGACTCGGTTGTACCGTTATCATATTTAAGAGGCATTTTTCGTTTTCTAGATTCTTTCGGTAGATCTAACTTTAAATCTGACCATTCGTTTTTTGCAGATTCCCATAAAATATTAAATACATCTCTCATATTTGAAATAATATCTTCCAAAGTGTTCAAAATTTGTACGGAAAGCTTAAAATATAAAGACTTTGTAATATTGTATTTGTTGTTTCCATATGTTTAAAAATACTAATTACTATTTTAAGCATAATATAAGTATCTGAGGATTTTAATTGTTTTAAAAAATCCGACAAAAATGTCAATAGTTCATTGTAGTTATCCATAACAGATAACAAAGAAGAATATCGTAACGTCCACCTGGTTGGACAAAATGGTCTTAGAGCAGTCATGTTCTCTTCTGTTTGTAACATTTTGAACCAAGATAGCCTCTTGGGTGATTGTTTGATAAATGTAATTAATTCTCTTATAAAATTTAGTAAATCTCTAGCTTTTTCTACATTTCGCATACTATCTTGGGTAACAAGATTTAAAGAATGAGCTTGACAGTGAACAAATAATGCTTTGGGTTCAATTTCTTTAGTTTTAGCTTGCATTCCTTTGTGAATCCCAGAAACATTGCTAGCGCCGTCAAAACATTGTCCTCTAATATTATGAATATTCAACTCTAATCTACACAGAATATCTTTTAAAATATTGAAAAGAGTATTAGAATCAGTTTTAGGTGTTTCATAAAATCCTATAAAATATTCTTCTATTTCAAATGATTCTTTGTCCACTGTTCTTAAACAAAATGAAATGTTCTTTTACTGTAATGTCACTGTCACTGGTTTCGTCTAATAAAATAGCATAGAATGTATTCTCTTTTATTTTTTTAATAATGTTTCTAATGACTTCTCTTGAAAGTATACTAAGAATTTCATTTGTTATATCATGGGAAATCCATTTATAAGTAGTTCTACCTAACCAGTTTTGTAATTCAGTCGAATCTTCCGATCGAAGTTTTAATAACTGATTGAAATTTGTAGATTCGTCAGTATGCCCTCTTATTGCTACGGCTTGTTTTGCCAAAAAAACTATAGAAGATAATATTTTATCAAAAGCAAATCTTGATTCTTCCATAGATTTTTTATGACTATCCGAAATTTGAGCAAATACATTAGCATTTGTTTTAATAAAAGAATTTTTAACGATATTTGTTTTGTGCAATTCTGAACGTTCATGCATATTAAACCTTTCCACCGCTTTTTTCCAATTATTAAAGCCTTCCGAGATAAATACAGAAACATTATTGTTGCTATTACTACTCATAGATTTACATAATTTGCAAAAAGCTTTATCATTAATTTGATCATGTTCTAATCAGTCATATTTGTTTAACCAAGATGTTAAAAATGTTCTTTTTTTTTGTTTTGAAAAATCTGATGTACTAGATGTAGATAAATTATTTTCAGATTGAATTTGATTATCATAATTTACATTAACGCTTGACGTTGAACTATTATTATTAGAATTGATTTGTTTGTTAATTAAGTTTGAATTAAGTTCGATATTTTTTTTTTGTATATATTTCCACATAGACATAATTGTTATTTGTTGAAGAATTACTTTTATTATTATTTTTAATGCACAAAAGTTTAAAAAAAATATAATTAAAAAATTGAATATTAAAATTTATTTTAAAATCTGATTTCACTATTATTATTGCTGTACTGAAATACCATTATTTTGTAAACGGGAAAATAAATAAGAAACAAGAAACTTTTCAAATATTTGTCTAAAAAATGTTTTCATGAAATAATATGCGCTAATAACTCTTAACAAATCGACTATATGCCAAATATGACTTAACATCCAAAACATGCAAAAACATGCACTATTAAACTTTATATTATTGTTACAACTGTTATGAAACGGATTTGTATCTCAGATAGCATGTTTTTCTGTGTAGCAGAAAAAACATGCGGATGCATGAACTTACGAGCCCTGATGATAATCTTCGAATAGTACACTTCGTAGGAACAGTAATTAATAATAATAAAATAATCGAATAGATATTAGATATTATACTATAGAATAATCAAAAACCAATACAAAAAAGGAGATACTATGGATCACTATGCTGCGGTCTATTTGCCTACTGTATCGCCGCAATGAATTTCTGTCTGGTCGACTACGTGTCGACGCGTTGGTGATTAGATACATGACGTATATCATTGTAGAAACTATAAATATATTTGTTTATAATTTATAAATAATATTATTTGAATTGAACATTTTTAGTTTATATACTATAATGCTAATAAAATCAGTTCTGTCTCTGTATTTCGGGAAAAATTGAAATGACAGATGTATTTTTAGACAAAATATAAAACCAAATAGTAGTGAGCGTCGAGCGTTCTATAGTATTTATAGATCATATTTAGGTAATATACAAATATACAATCGTCGATGTTCTAATGAATATTTTCATGTTATAATCTGGTATTTTAACCAAGTAATTATTATTGTACACAACGGGGCACGGGGGCGACACAATACTTTTGCCCCCGTTAAATTAATGTACGGGGGCGATCGCCCCCTTTGCCCCCGTGGAGTCGGCGCCTATGCATCTAGCTACAACTTTTCTTACATACCAAATCTTTGTCTTGCACAAGTAACCTAAATATCTTAACTTCTAAACTTAAATTATATTTTAAGTTCCAAGTATATCTAAAGTACTTCATTACGTCCATTTCATCTTACCACACTCCCAATAGTATGAACTTATGAAACTCTGTCCTTACTAATAGGTATTGAATATTACTTTAACAATTAAAAGTATCAACAACTTGATTTGGATTTTAAAAATACAATTTATTTACTATATAAACCTTGATAGGTAGTTAAAAAAAAAATGTATAATGTTAACATTTAGTGGCCGACCTGGCTGAACACTTGAAAAAAAATATTTGCCAAAAATCAGTTAGTTATTAATATCATTTGTTGTGGTCATCTTCAGTCTTTCGCTCGCTTTTGAAAGCCATATACTTGCGGCAACTTCAATGTCCTTGATCGAAGTTTGATTAAATTTAGAAGAAGACTGTATTGCTTCTAAAATAAATAAATTAATACAATTATAAATAATTTCTAAATAATACTAATAGGTATCATGCATATTATTAACAATCCCAGTTACGATTACATTATTGAAATTTAGGTATCAATTAATCATTATAAAATTTAAAAAAATAATATCATCTGTGTTTAGCTAGAGCTATTTTATTTTTAAAAAAAGATATTAGTGTTTAAATTTTTTAGTTAGTTTATAGTTAACCCTTATTATAATAATTTTCTTAAAAATAAAATATTACAAAAAGATAATGTTTATTCTCTATCATTGTAATATAATAAATATTATAATAACCTAATTCAATAATATTCAGAGTCGCTTTAGTTTTCAAGCTTACTATACAGTTAATACAAATTTTAATTTCTTACTTGTAAGCAAAGAAGACAAAATTGTTTTGTTGAAAGGTATTATTTTTCCTTTGTGCCCTGTGTAGCTATATATGATTTGGCATACTCATCAGTGATGATTTTTTTCAATATACGCCTTACTGCTTGTTTATAGTTATGGCCACCAATTTTTGATAACATATTTACCTAAAAAGTACATATTTAACTTATAGAATCAAAGAAACGATATAATATCTACAATTAGGTATAATTATATATACAACAGACCACACAAATAAATAACTATACAGTATGTTTATTTACTAATTATTGCAATTACTTACAGTTTGATTATATAAAGTGTTGTCGTCTGTTAAAGCTTCTTTAAAAATATTTAATTCATCGTTAGTTGATATGGGGAGCATTTCATTTTTTTTCAAATTGTTGGTTAGTTGATTGTGGTGGAACCATCAGAGTTCTTTGATTATCTTGGATGTTACTGTCTATCAACATTATGGTGTGCAAGTACTCTCTTTGTTCCCTTTCCCTATAGCGTTTAATGTTACTAGTTGTCTGATTGTTTGTTTTTGAACTTCTATATACATTAAACCAATAATGTAATAAAATTAAAAATAAATAATAATATGATCAAATCTGAAATACATATTGCTTGTTTAATTATAAACACATATGATGGTAAAATAAACCAATTTGGTTTTTTTTTTGTTTTATAAATTTTATTGTAAATAAATTGATGGAATTTAGAATTTAAAAAATTATTTTATTCAATTGATTTTTGTAAATAAGAGTTCTTATCCTCGAGTATGAAAATATTAACTTTATGTAAATATTAAATAAAAGTATCACTGTTAAGAGGACGTGATACCCGCATGTGTTGTCTCCGTCTTACAAGTGCGTACCATAGCAAATTTTACGCTCAGCAGAACACTTGTAGCTCCGTTAGTTTAAAAATTAGTGCGAATTAACCTCTTATAAAATCTAAAGGTAAGATTGTTATCTAGTTCCTGTATTGTGTGTGTGTGTAAGACAGAGACTCACTCATAGCGGGGACGACGTCCCCATAAGATATACTTATAATGAACCACAATTACAATTTAAATAAAGCTTACCATTTGGATCTTCAGCAGCATCATTGGAGTTTTCCATGTTTAAACCTATAAAAACGGTACATTTGTAAAATTATATTACAGAACTGCAATAATTAAAACAAATTTATATTATAAATGTACAAATTGTAGTTAGGGTAATGTATACAATTATTGGCACCTTAAACAAAAATTGTGTTTCAAAACATTTTATCATTAACTTATTTGTGATTGGTATCTTTGTAACCTCTTTGATAATAATCAAAATATTGTAATCTATCATAATTTGCTATCAGAATTTAAATCCATTTAATATTTATATATGTTTTTAATACCTTTATATAAAATGACCAAAAGTTTCAGTTATTGGCACTATAATTCAGTTATTGATTTCTAAATTTCAGTTATTGGCACCCTCTTTAAATTGTTTATTTAATTTAGTTAATGAGGTATATTATCTAGGTAGGTAGGTACATGCTTATTAGTATATAATAATAAAAATATACTTGAAAGGTATATTTACCTATTATAATTTAAAATTATATTTAAAAAAGAATAATTCCACAAAATGTGAAGCTAAAGGTGTACCTTCTAAATCCAAATTTAATAACAAATAAATTAATTTAACACATTTTATAATTATTATTGTAAGGTAGCTATTTAAATTAATTGCATATTATACTTAATAGCACATTATATCAGAATACTATTGTTTTGAAACATTTACAATGTATTTTTTTTTTTAATGATATGTACCTATGCATAATAATAAAATTGAAAAATAAATTCAATCACAATTTTTTTTTTAATAATATAATAATAAAAACAGTAACATAAAATCAATCAGTTTCTTTTTTTGTAATAATAACATAATATGTATATCCCTACGTCAGTGAATAAAAATAATTAAAGAAACAATAACAAATTCTTAGTTATAAACAATATTAAGTACCTACCTAACATCAATTTAAAATGAGATAAAAATAAATACTTGAATGTCATAAATGCAGTTTAAAATAATAATCTAAATCTTCAGTCTTTTAGTTTTCATTATTGACTTAGATCTTTTTGACACGCATTACAAATAAATTAAACTGTTTCTTTTAAACCTAGATCACAGTATTCTGAAGAGCTTAAACATTTTAAACGGTATCTGTGTGAACAAATCTCACACTCAATGCCAGTATAAGAAATAGTTATAATGTCATTACGTTTTAAACAATTTCCTTCAGTCTTATAAAAATTCTTTATACATATTTATCTTTCCAATACTATCTTGATTTTTTTCTAAATCAGGCAAATTATCTATTTCATTATTTGGATAAATTTCAATATGGTCTTCATGTTTCTTTTCAGTTTTATTTTTTATCAACTTGTACAATTTGTATAATGCTTCAGATTCTTTAGACAGAGTGGTTGTTTTTGAAGTATGGTCAATATTACTGAATTTTGTTATAATTTCAGAACCAACAACATCACAAAATGCATTTAGGTCCAAAATTTCATTTGGTAAATTATTTGTAAAATCAACTGGTTCAACTAAAGCCTGATCTTTACCAAGACATTTATTAAAATTAATATTGTTAGGATTCCACGGAAAAGACCACATGCTTTAAACCCGTTTTTTAAAATATCTGGATTTATAGTTTCGTTAATTACTTTTTCTAGTATTGGAGCAAAATCTTTTTTAAGGTTAGTTTACTGCAGTAGTTATAGAATTTTTTTTCGCCATTCAAAAACTCCACTTTTCCAACCCTCTTTTAGAGGACGGAATGCAGCAACGTCGGCTGGTTGTAGAATTCTTGTTGAATTTGGATATAGGGAAATTAATATTATTTTGAAGTCTGTACATAGTTTACTAAGCTCATAAGTAAGATGACCTTTGGATCCATCGACAAATAAAATCACTGGTAATTTTATATTATTTAGTTACAAAAATGGATGAAATATATTTGCAACAAATTCGTAAAAAGTTTCAGATTTCATCCAACCACTTTCAGAATGTCCAATGCCCCAGTAAGGAGGTACTGAATTTACAATATCCTGAGGTATTCTTTTATAGTTGAATACAACCATTGGATGACACATAACTCCTGCAGCACTAAAAGTGAACATTACAGTTAAATTTTCTTTTGCATTCCAAACAGCAACTTCATACACGTCCTTAGAACCCTTGGGAGCCAATACTGTTTTTGTTTTTAGACATAAAGAAAACCCGGTTTCATCACCGTTAAATTCTCTTGAAGGGTCATTTAAAATGTCACATAAGTTTTCTTCTTCCAAATATTGGTAAATATCATCAAACCATTTTCTGATATCCTTTTCGCTTATACCCACACTTGCTGCAGTCACATGTTCACTTGTTCGGGTAGATAATTTTGGATTACGGCGCATGAATGCTTTATACCAACCAATACCTATAGTAGAATTCATTTTGTATAAAATAATTAAAAACTATTTTTATTGGTAGGTACTACCTTAACCTAAACCTATTATAATATGCAATTATTAACAATTATAAAATAAACATCAGTAAATAATTATTAAAGATACCACAAACTCAAATTAATAAGTAGTTAAATCCACAATTATTTATTTTATTATAAATTGTTTTCTTAGGGTTATAATTTTATTATCTTATAATATTAGATTGAAATAAATTACCTGGATAATTATTTAAGAAGGGACTTGAACGTTGATTCTTGTCTAAAAATTGTTTTACACTTAGTTGAAGATCCTCTTTTCGTTGGGGAAATCCTTTTCTACAGCTTTGTAGTATCCACTTTTCAAGTACCGTTTCTTCTTCACTAGACAGTACGGTTGCAGGTCCACAAGTAATTTTACAATTAGGATTTTTTAGCCTGTGCTGTAATGTTGACCTAGATACTTTAAACTTTGCTGCAGCAGATTTTTTAGACAGACTTTCATTAAGAACTGCATTTATTGCACTTTCCAAATTGGCATTTGAAAAATTCTCTCTTTTTCTTGGCATTTTTACTAGAAAAAAAATGTTCAAAAAATATTAAATAAACAATTTATAATTTAAAAATGGTTTTTAAAAATTAATATTAATTTTAATTTTAATAAAATAATAACTAAATAACATTTTAATAGATGTGTCAATAAATTAAATACTAATATTATTGAAAATATCAATTATTGGCGCCCCATGCCAATAACTAAAATTTAACAATTATAATAATCAGTTATTGGCATACCATAATAAATAATAACAAAAAAAATGTGTTGAAACTGTATTTTTATATTAAAAAAGTTCTTAGAAACCAGAATATGTAATTTATAATTGAATAAAATAACTACAAACTATATAGGAGCTTAAATACTTAACTGGAGGATTAAAACATAGAGTTTATATTATATTATTATATAATATAATAAAAAAATAAGCTACCTCATCATTATATGATTGTATTGTACTACTTAGGTTCAAAATATATACATTTTATATTTATATGTACCTGACCTACATTTTTGTTATTTTTTTTAAAAATAAATAACAAAAGTATAATATAATGAATATTCAGCCAAATCTTTTATTTGATGATGACGTTGACGAAATACTAGAGTTCATTAATTATCGTCGAAGACCTTACACGGTACGAGATAGAATTAATCATATGATGAAATGGAATGGTCATGATTTTAGGATAAGGTTTAGACTCTCTAAAGTTGTTGTTGAGCAAGTTTTGGAATTATAAAGGACAATATATCTGTAGAAAACCAATGGTAAGTTTGGATAAAAAAAACTAAAAAGTTACTTTAAACAAATAAAATATAAAAATAATTGTAGGTATCTACTTCCTATTTTGTACAAAAATAGTAAGGTAAAATGTTGTATTTATGAAAACAAAATATAAGTTTGCAAGTATTTTCAAGTATTAAACCAGCATTCATTACATCATTCTATATTTATTTATAATTATCCCATATCAATATGATACTCCTTACTATTTTTAAATGGCAACCTACTACATGTTGGAATCTGTCAATACAATTCCAATTAATAATGTTTAACTTTTTAATATTATGTTTTAATTTCCAAAGGAATTGTGCAATATCACCTATAGACAAGTTATTATGAACACTGCGTTTCTATGCAACAGGAAGTTTTCTAATTACTGCTGGTGACTTTCTCGGTGTTAGTAAATCTTCTACTTGTATAATTGTTCGTACTGTTAGCACACCTATTGCACGCTTATGTCATCAATTTATTCGTATGCCAGCTACAGATGAAGAAGTATATACATTGCAGAGATGTTTTTATAAAATTGCTAGATTTCCAAGAGCTATAGGTGCAATAGATTGCACACATATTCGAATTCAAAGACCAGGTTATTGATTATTATTAACTATTATTAGCAACTTCATATAAAAAGAATTTATATTGTAATGCTATACATAGGAAGTCTGGTGTCTTAATCACCAATAAAACATCTGTACTAACACCTCCCCAAATATTATTTTTTAATGCCCTAGGGTGTATTTATTTAAATAACCCTAAGGTTAACAATTCCCCACATAGCAAGTCAATATTAAATCAAGGCTGAATAAAGATGCATTTTTAAACATTGAACATTATTTAAATATTGATTTTAGATGAAATTAGAAGCATATTAATCTTTATTGAATGTTGTATAAATGTGAAATGAAATAAAATCATATGTTCAAGAAGTATTGACCATTAAATGTTGAAACAACATTAAAAACATAGGTAATGCTTATAAGCCTTTATTCAAACAACAGTTCATATTAAATCGGCCTTGTGTGAATCTTGATTCAAGATAAATTTAAACTTTACAAAATATGGAACAAATATTGAAAATAACATACAAATACTATATATAGCTCCAGATTAAAACCATATATATTCAAGTTTACCCTCCAACCAGGGCCGGATTAAGGTTTTTGCCGCCCATAGGCTAAAATAAATTTACCACCTAATTTACATATTAAGTAAAATTTGTCGCCCTAGGCTTTAGCCTAACCAGCTTAAGCGGTAATTCGGCCCTGCCTCCAACACAAGTTTTTTTAATTTTACTTCCATAATATTATTATATTATATAACTCTAAAACCTTAACTTTTGTTTTTTTATCCATGACTATTACATGATATAATACAGCAAAACAATTCACCTACTGTATTTGTATTTTGTATGAAAGAGTAGGTATGAAAAATATAATAAATAAAAAACTACACTAATATATTTAAAGTCTTAAAATATTATATTAAAATTACTAATTATTATTTAATTAATAATAACAAAATAAATTATGTTGTAACTGCAACTCTGGAAGAAGATTTTTTTTTGATATTAAATGGAGCCTGGATCAGAGCGTTTTTAATATATTTTTCAGCATCATCAGTGGCACTTTCATAATTAAATTTTTTCATTAATTTTATTGAACCTATAAGAAAAAAATGTATTATTTTCCTGTATACAAAAATTTTAAATTAACTAATAGAAAAAAAAATTAGATGATTCAATCAAGTCAAATTAAAGTTAATATTAAACTGAAGCAAGTTAAACTTAATTTTTAATTTATAACAATAACTGAATTCAAATCTTAAGGAGAGGAAAATTAATGTGTTTATTAAACTATAAATATAACATCAGAGATGCCATGAAAATTTTATTATTTTGACTATCGTTGAACATCGATGCAGCTAGAGATAATTGTTGTAAAATGTTGAGATAACCTATCTATAGTTCCTTAAATGTTCTAGTTAGAAAATATATTCAAATATGCATTCAAATGTATTTTAAATTTATTATTTAAAATAATAATATAATATATACTAGTTGATATTGCAACTAAGGCAAAAAAGGCCAAATGATTATAATTATGTTAAAAAACTATAATACATTATATTATTTATATTAAAATAATTCATTGAATTGTAAAAATCCAGCATTTAAAATAAGAAAATATACCTAACATTGGACTGTATAATAGAACACAATTATAACTCCCCCAAAAAGTTATGATTATAAAACCAAAATTACTTACTAAAAATTAGCTTTGAAATAATTAAATTTGAAAAACATTTTTTTTTGTTTGCACGGCCACTAAAAGAATAATATTGTAGTAGTTCGTCCGTAAATAATAGCTGCATAACTCTTTTAATATAAATTTGAATTGTTTTGCCACCTAATCCGACTAGTTTATTTGTCTAGAACAAAACATAAAAAAATTACTTTATTATATGTTATAAATACATCAACAAAAACACTTACCATTAATTTATGATATTTTTGATCTGATGCCAGTTGTTCTTCAATACAATTCAAGGTATTTATGTCATCAATTGGAAAAATACAGTTGAGATTTGCGTAATCCATATCATCTTCATGTAAATTATTGTCAGGGTTTTGTGAAAATTTGTTGTTTCTTTCAATTATCAGATCAAGTTTTTCATTTAAATTTCTGATGCCATGTTTTATAATTATTAAATTATGGGATACCATATCTTTAAATTGATCATCTGTAATCATAATATAACTT